TCTAGAGCAACATTAGCACAAAAAGTACAGTGCTAAACAATAACAAGAATAGTAATACAAGAATTATTCTAGAATGGACAACATTTTAAGAGTAAATGCTAGTAAAAATCGGACAAGGGTAATGATGATCTTGGATGAAGATCAAGTGTAACAATATATTGAATAAATTAAATTATTGAGAATTAAAAATTATTTTTATCAGTAGTTTTTGAATTTGTCAAAAAAATTTCAATATATTAAATTGTAATTTTTTTTTTTGATTTTTATGAATATATTTATGAATATATTATTTTTATTTTTATAATTATAATTTTGATTTTTTTTTATTTAATAGAAATATTTTGTTCATTGTAAGTTTAAATTGACACAATTCTTATTTTGTTCTTCTAAAACAATAACAATAACAATTTTTTTTTATAAAAATACATATTTGTTACAATATGTTTTTTTAAAAATAAAAAAATATATATATATATTTTTATGATAAAAAAAAAAAATAGGCATGCAGTGTAGAATTCCGGTAGATTTGAAATTTCTTTTTTTAGTTCCATGCTACTTCACGCGTATTAGCATATTTAACTTCCAAGTTTTCCTTCTGCAGCACTCATATAATAATGAGCTTTTTTTAGAATAAGAATAAAAAAGTGCACCGAACCAATCGATTTTACGCCATGACGCCAGTCACGAATCAATTTGATTTAATTTGATAACTTTATCCTTTTAATTAATTACATAAATTGTTATAGTGGATACTATGAATAGTGTAGTAATAAAAAAAAAAAACTCGAAATATCATGGTTAATCTGCATTGAAAATCGTGGCGTTGCGTTACGTCTGACGTAAGGTTAATACATATTTTTAAGAGTTGACGTTTTGACCACTTATGTCAAAAAATTATAACATAATGATGATAACGTAAAAAGATAGAATACCCTGAAACGTTTCTCGATACTCACCAAAAGAAGAAATCCATTCAACATGACTATCTTTTTTTTTTTTTTGGTAGCATTATTTCCGAATCTTTACATACTCGGAATTTTTTTTAAAAATAACCTGCGCACATTACGGACGACACCATACTTACTTAACAGGTTTTCGTGCGAGAATTCAGCGACAGGAATTCCGGCGAATTCACACGTAATCCTGATTGGCTGGGAAAACGATGGGTTCAATATGTCCCAAGACGAGGTCAACACGAACGCGAGAGCTATAAAAAGAAGCGTACGCGAAACTAGTAAAGTCCGTAAATGAGAACAGATATTCGGAGATTATATTTAGCAAGATGCACGGTATTCTTCTCTGATCAAGCCTTTCTAACCGTATCAGCTCCTGTCATGAGAATCGTGAGAAAGAGGACAGAGTCTTGTGATTCGTGTTTGTTTTTAATAACACCAAAGTGAGGCCTCAGCAAGCACACAGTTCCCGGCGTCGAGATCAAAGTGAAAAAAAAAAAAAAAGGATTTCCCGGATTGGCAGTTGTCCGCCACACAAAGAGTTTTTTTTTTTTTTAGTTTAAAAAAAAAGTTGACCCTTACATCATATATCCTTGATAGGCCATAATCAATAGCAGTTTGTAATTATTTGTTGATCGGAATTATTGGCATGAGATTTTTTAACTCATTGTTAAGAAATCGGTAATCTATAAACAATTATCATCTAATTTTATAGTAATTGACAATTTTCAGGTGGAAATCTAAATCCTCTTTGACACCTCAGATCGCTACAATATTTGGCAATAAAAAACCCTTTGTATATAAGCCACAACTGTATAAATAAGCATGAAATCGGAGATGCTTATGGTCGCCAGTCCAACCTGCTTATTTTTGACATCATTGATCGTTAATACTTTTCCCCTTCACACCACAA